CGGCGGGGGCGGGCGCACCGGGAAGGCCGAAGACAGCGCCACGCGAGGTCACCTGAGGTCACGCTGGAGGCGCCGGAGCCGGTGCTGCCCGGAAGGGCGCCATGGACGACGCGGCTCAGGCCCGGCTCGCCTCTGAGCAGGACGACTCAGCACCACGCCGCGGCCTGAGAGGAGGGGGCCGAAGGCCGGGCACCGGCACGGGAGCCCCAGCGCTGCTGCTCTGGGCAGGGTGTGTGGCGTTCAGAGAGGATGAGGCTGACGCGCGCGCACAGACACACACCGACACACACTGACACACACACACTGACACACACCGACACACACACACTGACACACACTGACACACACACACTGACACACACACACCGACACACACTGACACACACACACACACCCCGAGACACACACCACTGTCAGCAGACACAGTAATCAACAGGACCAGACTCAGAGATGATGAGGCTGACACACACACACACACACACACTGACACACACACAGACACACCCACACACACACCCCGACACACACACACCACTGTCAACAGACACAGTAATCAACAGGACCAGACTCAGATGATGAGACTCACACACACACACACACACACCCCACTGTCAGCACACACAGTAATCAACAGGACCAGACTCAGAGATGATGAGGCTGACACACACACACAGACACACACTGACACACACTGACACACACACACCGACACACACTGACACACACACACCCCGAGACACACACCACTGTCAGCAGACAGTAATCAACAGGACCAGACTCAGAGATGATGAGGCTGACACACACACACACACACACACACTGACACACACACTGACACACACACAGACACACCCCGACACACACACACCACTGTCAACAGACACAGTAATCAACAGGACCAGACTCAGATGATGAGACTCACACACACACACACACACACACCACTGTCAGCACAGTAATCAACAGGAACAGACTCAGAAATGAGGCTGACACACACACACACACCACTGTCAGCAGACACAGTCATCAGCAGGACCAGACTCAGAGATGACTCAAATATTGAACCTTGCTGTCAGTTTGTCCTGGCCAGTCTCTAAGTTTGGTTCACATGTTGAAACTAATGAGGCCAACACATGCCACAGGAGAGTGTTAAAAGGTTGATTTTACCCACATAATGAGGCATTCTGGGGAGATCAGGACAGATCTCCCATGCAGGCCCAAAATTGGCTTGAGAGAGCTGGAACAGTCCTGAGGATTCACGGTGGCAGGGGATGGCCCCCGGTGAAGATTCCTGTGCACAGGAAGGGCTTACATGGCTTGAATCTCCTGCAAGAACCAGAGGAGGGAAAACCTGGGCTTTCTTATCAGCAGGCCCAAATGCTAGGCAGAGGGAAAGAGGGAGGGCTGGAGCTCAGAAGCTGTCAACAGTCAAACACCAAAAATGGGAGACAGATTCTTTATGATAAAGATACAGATAAATAAAGATTTACAAGTAAATAGTTAAAAAAAATAAGTAGGCCAGGCGCTGTGGCTCACGCCTGTAATCCTAGCACTTTAGGAGGCCAAGGTGGATGGATCACCTGAGGTCAGGAGTTAAAGACCAGCCTGGCCATCATGGTGAAACCCCCATCTTAAAAATAAAAAATAAATAAATAAGTAAATAAACTAATAAATAAATGGATGTGTCACTAACATATCCTCTAGTGGAAAAGGTGGCAACATGCCTGAATACAGGGGGAATTTCAGCAGAGAGGAAGAAGTTGTGTGAAAAAGATAAAAAGGAAATCATAGATACGAGAAAACATGGCAAAACGTGAAGATTTTCTTCAGTGGGATTATTAGTCAACTCTATGACTGAGGAAGGAAACCATGAAATTTGATAGGCCAGTAAAATGACCCACAATGGAACACAAACACATAAACAACAGTATCCAGGAGCCTGAGTGCAATCAAGCACACTAACGCACATGTGATTGAGGCCCAGAAGTAGGAAACAAATAGGTCAGAATGAAAACTTGAAGATATGATGGCTCAAAGTTTTCTAAAAATTACAAAAGACATTGAAACAGAGATCCAGAAAACTCCAAGAAACCAAGCCAAGACACCAATCAAGATTCTTTGCTTGACCAAACTTTAACCATGCTCTCTTGGGCCTTCTACCCAACAAGGCCTGTCATGTACTACCCTGCATAATGGAGTTTTAATAGGAGTACTATGAAGAAGGTTTAGGAGAGAATTCCTTACCCCTGATACCTGACATCTGATTAAACTACTCACCGCCACCATCCCCCAGGTGATGGCTGACTGCCTAACTGCCTGCCTCTGGTAAGGATACCATCAGGTCAGTTCAGCCAGAATCCTCCCAGACTTGATGTCTCCTCTTGTCAATTTTCCAACCATCCATGTTCCCCAAGCCTCTGTTTTGTTTTTTGGCTAAAAATCTCCACTTGTTTTGGTTGTATTTGGAATTGAGCCCAGATCTACACTGGAGTCTCTCTATCCCTGCAGTTTTATGAATAAAATCTATCTAACCCTACCCTAACCCCTAACCCCTAACCTTTAACCCTAACCTCTAACCCTAACCCTAACCCTAAACCCTAACCCTAACCCTAACCCATCCCTGAGCAGAGGTGCAAGAACCTGCACAAAGCCCAGATGGTGCTAGATGCATGGTGGGCAGCTCCTGAGCGTGAGCGTCACCAGGATGGAGCAGGGCACGGGGAGAGCTGATGGTCGGGATCCGGGAGTGAACCCAGAGGAGGCCTGAAGAGAAGACATAAGGTGTCACATCTGGGGACAGGTGCGCTGTAACTCACTGGCTCACAGTAATACCCCTAACCCTAACCCTAATTCTAACCCAAACCCCTAACCCTAACCCTAAACCCTAACCCTAACCCTAACCCAAACCCTAACCCCTACCCCAACTTCAACCCTAACCCTAACCCTAACCACAACCCCAACCCTAACCCTAACCCCTACCCCAACTTCAACCCTAATGCTAACCCTAACCTTAACCCAAACCCTAACCATAGCCATATTTCTAACCCTAGCCCTAATCCTAGCCCTAACCCTAACCCGCCTCCACCTCCCAAAGTGCTGGGATTACAGGCATGAGCCACCATGCCTGGCCCACTGTCCCAAACTTTATCACTGTAAAGCTGACAACCTGAAAGCCACCTATTGCTTCCTTTTTCCAACACAGCCACACAGTTTTTAGATAAAGACTGGAATCTGGGAATAAGCACAACAATGCTTCATAGCAAAACAGCTCATGTCACTAAGAGTACACAGACTGCCCATGTGAAGCTCTCAAATCTGTTATTTCCATCTCATCATAATGCTGCAAAATTACCCTTGTGTTATGCACAGGGAAACACACACCAGGAAGGCTGTTCCCTCTTTTCAAAAGCCATTTCCTGGCCAGGCACATGGCTCACATCTGTAACCACAACCCTAACCCTGACCCTGACCCAAACCTGAACCTGAACCGTAAACCCTAATCCTAACCCTGACCCTAACCCTAAACCTGACCCTAGCCCCAGCCCTGAACCCTAGTCCCTAACCCTAACCCTAACCCTAAACCCTAACCCTAATCCTAATCCCTAACCCTAACCCCTGACCTTTACCCGATACCTACCTCAGGTGACTGGAGCAGCCTGTTCTGGGAAAGCTGAACCATGACCCAGAGGAAGGAATTGCAGGGCTTTTCTCTGCAAAACGATCTTAACCTGGAGGTGCAGCCAGCCCCTTCTGATCTTGTGAAAGGACAGCTTCTGGAGCTCTGAGTAGGGCTGTCATGCCAAGGAAGGGGTCATTCCTAATCCTCTCTGGGTCATGTTTTGGGGCAGTGCTTTGAATGGATGATCCTGTTTTCCTGTTCTCTGGCCCCATCCGCATCTGCTTTCTTAGGACTCAAATTCCAAAGAGAAAGGAAGGGCTGATGAATCACTCTTCCAAGCCCTAGGCTCCCGCTATCCTTCTACAAAATTCTGCCCAAGACACCAGACAAACATTCTCTTTTCCTGCCCACATATCTCCCTTGGTGTTCCCCCAGAAGACTGGCTCTCTGTAATGCCATTAGCCCACAGAAGTGGCACAAATGACTGATCCCCAACAACTATAAGCCCCCTAATAAGCAGACAGACATTTGGCAAGTCTCCTAAAAGGTATTAACCCCAGGGCAATCCAGCAGCTTCATGATGTGGGATAGGTAGGGCAGGGCTCCCTCAGTGGAGCACCAGTGGTGGTGGGCATTCCTGGGATGGAAGACAGCAGTTCAAGATGAAGCAGAGGTTTTTATGAGGCTGATCTAAATCCTCTTCCAGCCTTCTGTGTTTCAGCAAATTATGATAGGGGAAATGCAAGAGGTGACAGGAAATTTCTAAAAAAGAAACACATAGGAAACTTACCCTATTTTGAATGTTCTAAAAGCAGTGTAGACAGAAAACAAAATAATAATGAAAATAGCACTTACTGAATACTGACTCTATCTCAGTCCCTCCAAGGAAGAGGCCCTATTACTATCTCCACTATGCCAAAGAGGAGAGAAAGTACAAAGAGCATCAGTAACTTGCTCAAGGTCACACAGCTATTAAGTAACTGAACTGACAGTCTACCACAGGAAGTATGGGTCCAGGAGGGAAGAGAAAACCAATAAATAGTGGCAAGTATGCCTTAGAATGCATCATGTGTTACTGATTGCATTTCACATTAGAGAACATGGGGGTAAATGGGAGACAACCTATATTTACAATAGGCACTGGTAAATGAAATGTTGGCACTACTCTTTGATGGATGATCAAGCCTCCATAAAAAGTAATGTTTAACAAAGGTTTGTCCTCATTTAGAACACTTGTTATTTAAACACTCAATGCTGAAGTTAAGAATGTGGACTTTTTTGGCTAGTCAAGTCAAGCAGTGGGAATAGAGAAAGAAAACTGTATGTGGCTGTGATCAGTTAAACACCACTGAACTTGAACTACCCTAGGATATGGACTTTTGTGCTCACTTAGGCAGCACATGTACTGAAACTGGAATGACAGAGAGATGAGCATGGTCCCTGTGCAAGGATGACACAAAAATTCATGAATTGCTCCATATTGTTTTAAAAAAGAAGGTAGAGGCCGGGAGCAGTGGCTCATGCTTGTAATCCCAGCACTTTGAGAGGCAGTGGTGGGTGGATCATGAAGTCAGGAGTTTGAGACCAGCCTGGCCAACATGGTGAAACCCAATCTCTACTAAAAATGCAAAAATTAGCTAAGTGAGGGGGTGTGCCCCTGTAATCCCAGCTACTCAGAAAGCTGAGGCAGGAGAGTCGCTTGACCCAGGAAGACAGAGGTTGCAGTGAGTCGAGATCACAACACTGCACTCAGGTTGCCTGGGAGACACACCAAGAACCCGTCTCAAAAAATAATAATAAAATAAATAAAAAAGAAGGTAGACTTTCAAGTCTGACAATTGAGAGGCTAGCCTGGGCAACACAGCAAGATCCTGTGCCTAAAAAATAAAAATACAGAAGGAACGGATCCAAGATGGCTGATTAGGAGAAGCTCTGTGGGAAACATTCCCTTGTGAGACCCCCAAAAGGCGTGGGTCTCACTATACAGTGAGTTTGATCCCAAACACAGTTTCCTACTGGAGGCAGTCGAGCTATCGAGAAGAAGGAACTGAAAGATGGATGATCAGTTTCTAATATCAACCACGATATCGTTTGGGCTTAAACTATGCGGTGCTGCTAGACTGAGTGACTCCCTACCAGCAACCAGTTTCTGCTTTTAATCTTTATGACTCTTCAAGTATAACTTTAACCTTTTCTTTACTTGCATGACTGCCTTGTACCCTAGATAATGGTTTAACTGTGGTGATATTTGCAAAGCAAATGCCACCATACGGGATGACTTTGATCGCTGACTCAGAGACTCCGGAATAGGAGGAGTTGAGATAAGTTGAGTCAGGAGCAGACAAAGGAGAATCTGGTTAAAAGATATTCTGATGAGCAAAACCAGAAAACCTTTTCACATCTCAGTTCTACAACAAGATCAAACCAGAAATACCTGCAGCCATGAGGAATAATGTCTGAATGTAAACAAGATTTGTGATCACAGGAAATTCTGTTACTTTTTACAACCACTGATTGCATATCTGACTTCTCTATTGTATAGGCCATGTAAGGTATAGATTTGCATTTCCTCTTGCAATGACGTAAACCAGAGCAAAGAAAGTGTATTTATTCCTGGCCTTTGAAAAATAAAATTCGCTGTTTAGGCACGGCCTATCCAGTCCTCCAGACCCCCGTACTTTCTGTCTTTATTTCTTCAAGTGCACGCTCTCTTCCAGGTATTGGGACCCTCTTGCAGGTCGAGCGACCCCTGGCAGACGTGCCGTTCCAGACCGGTCCCCAACACAGCTTAGGACTGCAGCTCCCAGCCAAAGCACGGAGGGTGAGTGGACACCATATTTCCAGAAGGATTTTTATTGCCCACCGACCAGGAGATTCCCAGGTGAAGGAGCCCTACGGGTCACCAGCGCGCATGTTTTGGATGGCGCAGCAGGTCACCGCACAAAATACATGGGTCCAGTTACGGTTTTAGCTAGCGACTGGAGCTTCTGGGAGAGAGTCGCCCATTCAACTGATAAAAAGAGGACTGAAACAGGGATCCAGGCCAGAAGATTCCCTGGCAAAAAAGCGCCACAAATCTCCACACGGCTGTTTCAGCCCGAGCAGTGGGTCGCCGCACGGGAAATCACACAGATCCCAGCTTTTCAACAGATGACTGGAACACCTGGGAGACAGAGTCGCCTGTTCAACTGAAAAAGGGAGTCTGAGGCAGGGAGCCAGGTGATCAGGCTCGACTTGTCCCACCCCCACAAAAGAACAGCAATCTGAAACGCTCTGGATTGAGAGTTTCACAGCAAGCACAGATGAACCTGGGACGATCCAGGTGGTGGGGGAGGGGCGTCCACCATTACTGAGGCAGTCCACCACTAAGGAGGTATTCTGCCATTGCTGAACCAGCCCACCATTACAGAGAGAGTCTGCCATTACAGAGGTGGGCCACCATTCCTCAAGCAGAGCAAACTCAAGGCATATAATTGTCAGATTCACCAGCGTTGAAATGAAGGAGAAAATGCTAAGGGCAGCCAGAGAGAAAGGTCGGGTTACCCACAAAGGGAAGCCCATCAGACTCACAGCGGGTCTCTCAGCAGAAACCCTACAAGCCAGAAGAGAGTGGGGGCCAATATTCAACATCCTTAAAGAAAAGAACTTTCAACCTAGAATTTCATAACCAGCCAAACTAAGCTTCATAAGTGAAGGAGAAATAAAATTCTTTACGAACAAGCAATTACTCAGAGATTTTGTCACCACCAGGTCTGCTTTACAAGAGCTCCTGAAAGATGCACTAAACATTGAAAGGAACAACCAGTACCAGCCACTCCAAAAACATACCAAATGTAAAGAGCAGCGACACAATGAAGAAACTGCATCAACTAATGGGCAAAACAGCCAGCTAGCATCTAAATGGCAGAATCAAATTCACACATAATGATATTAAACTGAAATGTAAATGGGTTAAATGCCCCAATCAAAAGACACAGACTGGCAAATTGGATAAAAAGCCAAAACCCATCAGTGTGCTGTATCCAGGAAACCCAACTCAAATGCAAGGATACACAAAGCCTCAAAATAAAGGGATGCAGGAAAACTTACCAAGCAAATGGAGAGCAAAAAAAAAAAAAAAAGCAGGAGTTGCAGTTCTAGTCTTTGATAAAATAGACTTTAAAGCAACAAAGATAAAAAGAGACAAAGAAGGACATTACATAATGATGAAAGGATCAATGCAACAAGAAAAGCTAATGATCCTAAATATATACACACCCAATACAAGAGCACCCAGATACGTAAAGCAAGTTCTTAATGATTTACAAAGACACTTAGATTCCCACACAATAATAATTGGAGACTTTAACACCCCGTTGTCAATACCAGACAGATCAATGAGACAGAAAATTAACAAGGATATCCAGGACTTGAACTCAGACCTGGACCAAGCAAACCTAATAGATGTTTACAGAACTCTCCACCCCAAATCCACAGAATATACATTCTTCTCAGCACCACATCATACCTACTCTAAAATTGACCACATAATTGGAAGTAAATCACTCCTCAGCAAACGCAAAATAACAGAAATCATAACAAACAGTCTCTCAGACCACAGTACAATCAGGTTAGAACTCAAAATTCAAAAACTAACTCAGAACTGCACAGCTTCATGGAAACTGAACAACTGGCTCTTGAATGTTGACTGGATAAACAATGAAATGAAGGCAGAAATAAAGATGTTCTTTGAAACCAACCAGAACGAAGACACAACATACCAGAATCTCTGGGACACATTTAAAGCAGTGTCTAGAGGAAAATATATAGCAATAAATGCCCACATGAGAAGCAAAAAAAAAAAAGATCTAAAATCGACACCCTATCATCAAAATTGAAAGAGATAGAAGAGCAAGATCAAAAAAACTCAAAACCTAGCAGAAGACAAGAAATAACTAAGATCAGAGCAGAACTGAAGGAGATACAGACACAAAAAATCCTTCAAAAAATCAATAAATCCAGGAACTGGTTTTTCAAAAAGATCAACAAAATAGACCACTAGCCAGATTAATAAAAAATAAAAGAGAAAAGAATCAAATAGATGCAATAAAAAACAATAAAGGGGATATCACCACAGATTCCACAGAAATACAAACCAACATCAGAGATTATTACAGACAACTCTATGCACATAAACTAGCAAACCTGGAAGAAATGGATAAATTCCTGGACATTTGCATCCTCCCAAGCCTAAACCAGGAAGAAGTGAAAACTCTGAACTGACCAATAAAAAGGGCAGAAGTTGAGGCAACAATTAAGAGCCTACCACCCAAAAACAGCCTAGGTCCAGACGGGTTCATAGCCAATTTCTCTCAGACATACAAAGAGGAGCTGGTACCATTCCTTCTGAAATTATTCCAAACAATCCAAAAAGAGGGAATCCTTCCCAAATCATTTTATGAGACCAACATCATCCTGATACCAAAACCCGGCAGAGACTCAACAAGAAAAGAAAACTTCAGGCCAATATCCGTGATGAACATAGATGCAAAAATCTTCAATAAAATACTGGCAGACTGATTGCAACAGCACATCAAAAAGCTTATGCACCATGATCAAGTAGGTTTCATCCTAGGGATGCAAGGCTGGTTCAACATACGCAAGTCTATAAAAGTAATTCACCACATAAACAGAACCAAAGACAAAAACCACACGATACTCTCAATGGATGTAGAGAATGCCAAAACCCTCAACAAACTAGGTATTGATGGAATGTATCTCAAAATAATAAAAGCTATTTATGACAAACCAACAGCTAATATGATACTGAATGGGCAAAAACTGGAAGCATTCCCTTTGAAATCTGGCACTAGATAAGAACGCCCTCTCTCACCACTCCTATTCAATATAGTACTGGAAGTTCTAGCCAGAGCAATCAGGCAAGAAAAAGAAATAAAGGGTATTCAGTTAGGAAAGGAGGAAGTCAAATTAATTCTATATGCAGACGACATGATTGTATATTTAGAAGACCCCATTGTCTGAGCTCAAAATGTCCTGAAACTGAGAAGCAACTTCAGCAAAGTCTCAGGATACAAAATCAATGTGCAAAAATCACAAGCATTCCTATACACCAATAACAGACTTAAAGAGAGCCAAATCAAGAACGAACTGCCATTCACAGTTGCTACAAAGAGAATAAAATACCTAGGAATACAACTAACAAGGAACGTAAAGGACCTCTTCAAGGAGAACTACAAGCCACTGCTCAACGAAATAAGAGAGGACACAAACAGATGGAGAAACATTCCATGCTCATGGTTAGGAAGGATCAACATTGTGAAAATGGCCATACTGTCCAGAGCAATTTACAGATTCAACGTTATCCCCATCAAGCTACCAATGACTTCTTCACAGAACTGGAAAAAAAATTCATATGGAACCAAAAGAGAGCACGCATGGCCAAGTCAATTCTAAGCAAAAAGAACAAAGCAGGAGGCATCACACTA